TAGTTCTTTCCAATTATGCTTAGCATTCGTGGACATTGAAATAAAGAGATTTTAATTTCGTGCTAGTTATACTTCAGATTCTTGGTGTAGAATTGACTTTAGATGATGGAGTATTATTATCATATAGATATTTTTCTATTAATTTTCTTAAAAGTGAAGAATAAATTTTATGCAAAGCTGCAGGGATGAATTTTAGAGACTGACTTAGCCTTACATGCTTTTGGGGTCACTCCTAAAGGTATGTGGCATTGTCATGTCCTAACCCCTAAGTTGGGGCGTGACAGTTGGAGAGGCTGCTACTAGGCTTCTATTTTTTTCTTCAAGGCTAGACAATTATATCAAATGGTAACTAAACTTTCAATAAAATTAGGGAAAATCTTGATTGAAGAGTTTGACTTGATATTTTATTTTGATTCCTTTATAGATTTTATTGTTTAATTTTATTTTTGAGAATTTATTAATTATTTTTCAGATTTGAAAATCCTAAAAATTATATTTATCAAATTTCATATAAAATTAGTTATGCTCTTTTTATGTGTAATTTGTTATAATATAATTGATTGATTGATTTGTTTTACGGATTAATCTTTTACTACAATATTATCAATTAGATATATTGTCACTTTCGAATAGCTCGTAATGATAAATCAGTTTGTTCTTCATTGAAATTAATTTCTCTCAAAATAAATACATTAGTTATTATTATTAGTTTTCACAGTTAAATTTTTCGATTGTTTGTTTGGGATGTGAAACATACAATTGAGTAATAAATAAGAATCAAAATTTATAACAATTAAACAAATCAATTAAGTGAACCCTAAAGTCTTGTTCATCGTAATATTGTTTTCAATCCTTTATCATTATCATCTTTTATTTAAATATTTTTATTCTTAATTTTAAAAATCATCTTTTAATTTAATTTCTCGTTGTGACAACTCTTTTTGTTGGTTTAATATAGCTTTATTGTGGATTCGACACCTAAAGTTACGCTACAACAACTGCTTAGCCTAAGGGTATTAATTTTGGAATGAGACATCAGGGAACAAAAGGAAAATTTTTTTATCATTCAACACATAGCCTGCCCTACACAAAACCTGACAAAATTTTCAGACTTTGAATTTCTCAGTGACTACTCACTTTAATTTACAGATTTTAGATTTCAGCACAATTCCTAGTAGATTTAGGTTGTTTTTCATCATTCAAGTAGTCAAACTAGTTCAAGTATTTGTTTTAGCAATTTTGTTTCATTTAATGAACATCAAGCTTTAAATTTTTGCAAGGTATTATTCCTTTTCTGACTGATGTTAATTTAATATTTATGATAAGTGTGTTTCATCAGTGATTACTTACATAGCGTTCACGCTTCTTCTCAATTTCGAGCATATTAATTTAGTTCTTGTTTGAGTTTACTTTAGCGTAATTTTGGATTAGATCCCGAATTCTACGATAGTTTAATTTCCAAATTTGTCTGTAGATAGAGATTTAATCTGACAATGAACATGCTTAGTATAATTTGGATGCATTTTTTATTTACGAATTTATTTTAATTTGTATGCCATTTAGCTTGTTTAGGATCTGTTCACTTTTATTCATAGTAGCATTTAAGTCCTTGGAGTTGTCCAAAGCAGATTTAATAACCCATTTTGCAGGAAGGCATCTCTCACTTGTAAATCGTTTGTAGGCGTAGATTTTAATTTTAAACTAACATTCTTCCCACCATCCGTAAGGAGGTTGACCATGAGGGAGGAAAAGGTCATTGGGAAAATCTTTATTTCTTACTTTTAGCAAAGTAAGTGGCACACCCGTATCTAGATTCTGCATGTATGAAACCACTAGAGAATTTTTTAGGAAACACCATCTAATCAAAATTAACAATAAAAGACATAAAATTAAAACTAGCAAAATCAAAGATATTATAAATTAGTGGAAACTAGTTATTGCAGTTCTTGTTCAACCCTAGAACTAAGCTAAACTTGAACTTTAAAACTAACTTGTGTTGTTTTACTCGCTAAATAACCAATAGCAAACTACTCTATTACTTTTGCCATAACTCTTAATCCTCCAAATCCCAAGGCTACAAGAAAACTTTAGGCGTAAATTGTCAACTCTAATAAAGTTGAGGGACCTACAAAGTTTAAAGGTGCAATAAGACAAAGTTGACATTTATTTATCCAGCAAATTTTTTAACCTTTGCCCTAATTAATACACCCTTTTTTTTTTACAATTAAGTAGTATAGAAAATGTAAATGTTAACTATCATTTAATTAATTAAATAATTAAAATCATTCATGTATCAGTAATATTAAAATAAAAATTAATTTTTACAATTTTTTATGTAAATTAATTTTAAGTGTTGCCTAAAAGATGGCAACCCAAGAGGAGGTGAAAGCACAAGTAAGCAAACTAAATTGCAAAATTAAAAGAGTAGGGAAGAGAAAAATTAAACACAATAATTTATAGTGATTTGGTTACAATCTGTGCCTAATATACTTCTCAAGTCTCTTACTTAAGAGTTAAGTTTGGATTCAAATGTTCTTCTCGATTTTCAAGTGTAGAGGCAACCATGCATAATAATTTTATTGACGCTATTCACCTCTAATAACTTGTTTCCTTATTAAAATCTCTCTCAAAACCCAATCCTAACCACTAGGAAGGTTTTATAGATCTAACAAGAATTTCCCCCCACCCCCCAAACACTCTCACTCGTGAAAGAATGACAAACACTATTGATCAATTGGATGATCAGATAACAAGAATGAAGCCCAAAGAGCAAGTTTGAAACCTTATAAGTTTTCCTCAAGAATATAATAAGGTTTCGCTCAGTTGCTACTGCCTTCTCTAGAATATCTTTTTAAACCCTCACATATAAGTCCAAGACAAACTAGTCATTATAGCTCAGAATGGAAAGTCCTTGATTTTTTTTTTTTTTTTGTTTCAAGATTTTGTTGAAGATTCTAGAACTTTTTTGATATATTTTGGAACTTCCTACATTCATGAGAAGGTTTGAGAACAAATTCAAGTACTGGATTTCAGCAATCTTTATAATAGAAAATCTATCCATAACTATGAAATCTTAGAACTTGAGAATTCCGTTGGGTGTGATATTAAATATGGAAAAACCCAATATTTAGCCAAGTAAATATATTAAAGATAAAATCTAATATTTTCAAAAAGGAAAGTACATATCTTTTAAAAAATTTATTTCCCAAGTGTAAATATAAACACCTTAAGTTTGAATATATTAAAAATTACAATTTAAAAACTTGTATTCCAAAATTTCATTCTAGGCATTACTTTTGTAAGCAGAAAAATTCATTAAAAACAACAATAAGTGCATTTATTGCATCTATTGCACAAGTTAAATAAGCATTTTAATCAATTATACATGGTTTAAAGGTGCATTTAATGCATCATTTAGCTAATTAAAAACAATAATAAATGCATTTATTGCATCTATTGCGCAAGTTTGATAAACATTTTAATCAATGTATTTAA